AAAAAAAAAAAAAAAAAAGCTTACTTTTTAACTTTTACATTTTAAAGCCTTGTTTATAGGTTAAATGTCTTAAATACTTACATTTAAAATCACCATTGTCTCTATAGCGTCAAAAGAATCCCAACCTATTCAAAATCGATTCAACCAAGTCAACAGGCAAAAGAACTAAGACAACCATGCAATCTTGGGTACACATATGTTTTAAGTTAATCTAAAACACAGTCTAACATGCTCGTGATTTTCTTATATGCTAATGAAATTGTGCATTTTCAAACTTCCTTTCATATTATGAATTGTCAATAACAAATCAGTCAGCACATTCTGAATTGCATTAGAATAAAAAGTCTCTTGACAGCTATATATAATTGGCTTGCACAATTTTCTTTGCTATATACTTTACTAAGAAACCATATCCATGAAAGTAAAGAGCTTCAATTTCTGCCCTTTTACCACTCTCAATCATCACTTCCAGTTCTTCTTTGTAGTTGTCCTATTAAAAGCATGTCATCAATTGGTTTCATTATCCTAGAGCAGAAGACCTTAGCTCAAATCATAATTTTTGGTTTCTAGGTACTCAAAAACCATGTTTGACTTAGCTTAAAACAAATAACTTATAGAATATAATTTTACTCTTAGCATAAGTTAGAAACTGTAACGCAAGTGTCATTTTCAGAAAAAGTACTTTTTGAGCTTAGTCCAACATGCAATAGTACCCAGAAACCAAAATCTACGATTATAGGCAATAAATATTTATTTTAAAGTAGCTTTGTCTTTTTTAAGCTTATCAAACATGCTTCAACTTGTACCTTCAAATTCTGTTTAATATTGCATTCTAAGTCCATGTTTAAGCCCCATTTTTTGGTGATAATGTATTTTCAAATATTTATTTTTTGGCGAATGTGTGATTAGAAAATAGAAAAAAGTTTTGAATTAACATGTAAAATTATTTTATGAAAGAATATGAAAATGAGTTTTGAGAATAATGGGACTCAAACAGGGGCTAAAACAACTGTCATTAGAGCATTATACCTGCAATATCTCTGAGGATACCAAGCTTTTAGCAATTTGTAGATCCCGGGGCTTCAATGGAAGTAAAGATTCTTCAGGTACGAGTTGTTCAATGTCATCCTTTCGCAATCCCAGCCACCTGACATTGCAAGCTGAATCGTAGAACTAATTAGTATCGACCAATTTTAATTTAAGGCACAAGTAAAGGAGAAAGCACCATATTGATATGCTTCCAAGCCCATCCCTATGCTTCCGAATTTGAAGGTGCATAGTATTGCTAATCCTGCTGGATTCCTTCACAATTAAGCACAAGTGAAATGTGAGTACTAAACTGTATGATTATGTTAGGTACACCGGACTTAAGGGATTGAACGCTATAATGAACAAATATTAACTTATTATTCTTTCTTAACACGGTCAAGTATTATACAATCCTACCAATCATGGATGCAAATTGCAATGGAGAGTTATTGAGGTCATTCATACCAGTCAACCAGCCCTAGAATGGGCATTTCTGGGAACTCCCGACTCATTCGGTGAAGAAGAAACCTGTTTTGCATTGTAGAACTTTATGATATTAATGTAATCATCTCACATTATATGAGAAACATGAAAAATTATTTCAAGCAGTTTTTCTCCTTTCAAACTTCAAAAACTACCTAGTTGCAATGTCTGGATATCCTTTAGCTGTGATGAGAATACATGGAATTTGAGTGAATAAACGATCCTCAGCCAGCCGCTGGAATATGGCATGCTGAATGATACCGGTAGCTTATAAATATGCTGCCCTGGAATTGCTTAAATGTTCTCTATGCTGTCCAAAAACGATAGCGAACAAAAAAGTAAATACCTTCTCAACCACAATGATATACCGGGCATCGCTCTTCATGACCAAGGTTTCTAGCATATTTAGATCTCCGGAAATAGCATAACCAGAAAATCCACAAGCGGCGCAGTCCACAACCTCTTGGTTTGGCTCCTTCTCAGTAGTTTAAAGAAAATTTACATGAGTCACAGCATGAATCAGATTTTTAAAATGGGCCTACGGTGGAATTTATTTTTTACGTACTCTATACAGCTGATATACACATTCAATTTCTTGAAACTATGACTCACAATTTCACACCATTATATGTTTGGTGCTCATCCTTACAGCACATAATTGGAATCATTTGATCCATTATACTAACTCATTTGAAAAATATAAGAAAACAATTCAACTTATTTTGAGTCAACAAATACAACCACGGTACATGTCAATGATGCACTAGAACAAAAAGGAAAGAAGTAATGCCTGCAGCAATAGGCGGCCAGCAACCACCCCTCTGCTTGATGCCATGACGCCAAGGCTGCATCGGCTGCACCTAAGTAATGCCACCAAATCTGTTTTGCTCGCAAAACAACAAAAACCTTGGGGATTAACCTCTTGTTCATCTTAGGAGAGTAATAATAAGCTAAATGAAAATAAAAAATAAGCAATTTAAAGACCTGAATTTATAGTGATTCACCCTCAATGTGCGAGCTATATACATTTGTTGCTCAAGTTTTCACTATATTGAAGTTTTTTCATGTCACTCAAGCACACTAGACCAGGCCCCTTTACATAGTAGGAATCAGGCCAACATTAAAATTTTAGAAGCTCTATAGAAACGAAAGAAAACTGAATGAGCCGGATCAATTTATTGTTCAAATTACTTCACCATGTGCTTCGTTATGTGAACTTTACCACAGTTACCATTTTTCTGACATAATTAAAACCTAGTGCTGTAAATGTTTGAGCATAAAAGCAGAAACAATATTGACCTTGAATAGTCCTATTGACCTGCGATTGAGATGCAAAATACTCAGGCGAATCGCAAAGCAATTTATAAAATAACTCCCTCTGAGTCACTTTCTTTTCTTGTACCAACACCTGATAACACATTTCCATCATCTTCCACACTTCACAGACCAAAAAAAAATAAAAAATAAAAAATAAAAAATCAAGTCAGTAAATCTGACAATTTCTATAGTATTTATGTTTGTACGATAGTTCCAAAATCACGTCAAGTATTACCTCTTATGAATGATTTAGCAGTGTTCTCTTTCATCAAAGACCGCGTGCAAAATGAATGTGAAAGAAAAATCCATGTACGATCACTCAGTAATCCCCTGCTCACTCTGCTATTGCTCATTTTTCTGATAATCTGTTTCCATTTTTACGAGCAAAAAAATGAAATTCACTGAATAATGTTTCTTAATAAAATAATTTGATCCTCACAATCTTATTCTAGGATTTCCTGATCACAATAATTTACTCAAATAAATCCCGTTTTATGAATAAGAGCGTGTTTTGACGTGCTTGAAAGTAAGTCAAACCTACTTTCAAATTCCTTATTTTGAAAAACAGGCTTTTCATAGTTACTTATTTCGCTTAAAAGTAACTTCTAATCATG